AAACAAGTAGAATCATGAACAGTCGTCATTCAACCATCACATCAAGCAGAATGGCGGAGGATTGGAGAGCACCTTGCAGTATTGATCGGGGCACTTAGATTTCTGCCATCCTCGCCATCGCGGACTCTGACATCAGCCCATCGACATATCTTAACATAGCAGGGGTTGTGTTTTCTAAATCGGCAGTTCGACTGCACCGTGAATATGAGTGTCGCATAAATGGATTATAATTAATCAGAGAAGCTTACAATTTTCAAAAGTTTAAATCGGCATTTAAAGGAGGATTTTACGATTAGAATGGAGGTCGAGGAAGAAGTAATTCACCTAGTTGAGTAACCCACGGACCTCCTGAGGGTGCGAACTGATGCGCAATTCGCATCGAAAAATTTGACCTCGGCGACCTATTATGCCTCAAAGTTGGCGGGTCTGGCGATCTCCGCCCACCGACCAGCTGATCACTCTCTATACGTGGGATTGATTAGATAGCAGAGAGAGCGTGATGTTGAGGAGGGCACAGCGATAAGAGTCGCATCAATGCGCAAATCAGCGGGGAAGGAAGGGGTCCCATTTCTCGGGTTCTGGGCCGTTTCTCATGGTTCTTCCTTCTTTCGTGTACCACTCACCATCCCTGAGTTAATTTGAAATGGGTTGCCTTCCCAGCGTGAATTCGTCCTTTAACTGAATATACTGAAAATTTTCGGATGTGGATTATGAAGCATAATGAAATATTATAGAAATAAGATTAACGGGCCCAAATGTGAATGAATGATAAATTAGATGTCCCAGTGCTGATTAAATCTTATCACGCGATCCCAAAAATTGAGCGAGGCGGACGAGTTGTCTGACGCAAGCGACACATGGCATGCCTCGCTTGTACGTCTCATTTACGGCCTTGTGCCGTCGGAATTGTGGAGACTGGCAAGCACAATGGGAGTAAAAACAAGATTAATGAGCACAGATGTGAATAAATGACGAATCGAGCGCCTCATTGTTGATCGATCAATCGCGGGAACATAGAACTTGTGCGACGCGGCCGAGTAGTCTGGCTTTGGGCCGAGAAGATGTATCGTACCCTCGCCTTCAAATGACCAGAAATTGTGCAATTGCAGAAATTGACGTGGCATTGGCACACGTGGCTAAATTCTCGATGAAAAGGTGACATCACGTGTGCTCAAAGATGTTCTTGAATCGATGCCACGTTAATGCCACGTCAATTTCTGCAATTGCACAATTTCTGGTCATTTGAAGGCGAGGGTACATACAACGTTCAATTCGCATCACTTGTGATCTCACGCCTTCATTTCCGCCCACTCCTACCATCCCCGTTCCGATTGTACAGTTGTACAAGCCATTCGAGTATTCTAAAAGTTCAACAATTCTAAAAGAAAGTCTACACACGCACACAACGAAATGCTACATCCCTGAGCACTAACTATGGACTTTAAAGTGGTGGTCGGAGAGATGTCTCCGTAAAAACTAATTTCATGAGGAAGCATGGCGGATCTGCAATTGCAAGAAGGCACGAATGAGCTCTACTCAGAATTTAAAAGTGGGGCTGCG